TCTTTTAAGCCATACAAATTTCTGTTCCCTGAAGAGTTAGAACTCTGCCTTCAAAAGGTATCCAATGAGGGCCAGAGAGATGGCTCAGTAGAACAAGCGCTTGCCTGGCAAGTACAAGGGCCTGAGTTCAATCCCCGGTTCTGCCAAAAATCAAATCAAAACAAAACAGAAATGGAAAGGATCCAAAAGGAAGTCTTGAGAACAGCCATACTTATTGCAAAGTATTTAGAAAAACAACAAGCAGTATTACTGTGGATGTGTACCCCACAATCCAGTGAGCTGTTTGCAAGATTTATGCCACACAAGGTCAAGTTCATAATGCTCTGTTACATGGGGCTGGGGAGATGGCTAAATGGAATAAGCACTTCCCTGACAAGTGCAAGGTCCTGAGTTCAATCGCCGTGTTCTGCCAAAAAACAAAAAACAAACAAACAGTTACAGGGCCAAGGAGATAGCTCAGTGGCATAAGTGCCAGCCTGGCAAGCACAAGGTCCCAAGTTCAATCCCTGGTACCGGAAGAAATTAAAAAAAAAACAAAAAACAAAAACAAAAAAAAAAACCAGCAGTTACAAAACAGTCCCACAGGGTTTGATCTCCATTGTGCTGGGCTGGCCCCGCTCTCAGGGGTGCAATGAGACAGCGATTGAGACTGGGCATGGTGGCGCACACCTGTAACCCCAGCACTTGGGAGGCTGAAAACAGAATTACTGAATCTGATCTACGTAGTAAGACCCTGTAGACCCACACACTAAATACATTTAAAAAAAAATTTCCCACATTCAAAGGTGCCTACTTCTCAAGGGGTAGAATCTGCAGTGGTTCCCTATTGTCAACTGTATGTAAAAAGGCCTTCAGGGCACACTTAAGCTCTGCTGTCTGAACTTTTCCACTTACTCCTCCACAGCCCCACTCCCAGGCCATGGAGAGCTTCCTCCCACCTCTTTTGCCTGCCACTTTTCTGCCTCTGTTCAGGCTGGACCACCTGCCTGGGTTCTCTTTTCTTTCTTACCAGTCCACTCCTCTTTTCTGCCTTTTGAGGTTTTGCTCCCAGCTCATTCTTTTCAGGAAGCTGTGATGTCTCCAGCTTGTACTAAACTCCATCTCAGCATGCAAGGTTAGATTCCCCTCAACATCACACCATTTAATTTGCACATAACCCTGTCACAATCACCGTGTGTCTCAATACTTTCCTCCTGGTTGAAAAGATACAACCGTTTGTTCTGTTTTGTTTTGTTTGTTTTTTAATTTATGTATTTGGTATAGGTTCTCACTATACAGCTTTCATAGTGATTCTCCTGTTTTTAGCCTCCCCAGCCCTGGGATTACAGGCGTGCACCACCATGGTGGGACTTGGTCACTGGCTCAGGGTGCCTGGGGGTGGGGCCAGCATCACATGTGATGCTGGAGATAGAACCCCATCCCTGTGCGTGCCTAAGCAGGCACTTAGTCCTGATAGTCCACTGAGCTATCGTGCTGTCCCTCAACCCTGTTAAGCGCACTGACATCCTGCTTTGCTGGAAGTTAAGCATTACAGGAAGAAGCCAAGATTATTTTATAGGTGAGGATTTGAGGTTCTCTGAGGTGAAATGATTTATGCAAAGCCAGAGAAAACACTTTATAACTCACTTTCAAAAAGTGATCCTAGGGCTGGTGAGATGGCTCAGTGGTCTAAAGCACCTACTTAGAACAAGCTTAGCAAAGCACAGGGACCCGGTTCAATCCCCCAGCACCACATGCCAGCCAGCTCTGCCCCCTGGTGGGCTGAGCTGCCCCCTCCACAAATAAATAAGATTAAAAAAAAAAAAAAAATTGTTTGCTAACAAAAAGTGATCCTACCTTGTAGTACAGCACTGAGGAGGCTGAAGCAGGAGGATCACTGAACTCAAGGCCAGACTGGGCTACTGAAGTTTTTTGTTTGTAAATTCATTTATCTGATACAGAGTCTCAGAGTCTCCTATCTCAGCCTCCCCAGCACTGAGATTATAGGCATACACCACGCCTATATTCTGGAAATACACCTAGTTTTGGTAGACAGCATGGCGTGTGGTACCAGGGATTGAATTCAAGTCCTTGGGCTTCCCAGGCACATGCTTAGACTGCTGAGCTATCTCCCCAGGCCCGTTAAGTACATTTAAACTAGTCGGGGCCACAGTGATACCCTATCCTAACCCCTCCTCCTGCATAAGACCACCAAGCCTCCAGCTATGTATTTTTTCTGCTTAGTAAGAGCTCAACCCCTACTCTCCTCTGACAGAGTCCTGCTCAGAGACTGCCTCTTTTGAATCTTCTCTCGTGTTCACTTGCTCTGACTTTCTTGGTCCACTAGGACATTGCTTGTTGGCATGCGGCTGTACATCATGCTTCCAGCTGGGCTGAAACACCCTCTCCAGGATCTGGCTCATACTCAACAGGTGCTCAAGGAAGAAGCTCCGCATTTGTCCCTAATCCTCCGTGGCCAGGAAATCCCTGTTCTGTCTTCTCTTCTGCATGACCCCTTACTACTTCCCCAAATCCAGGTTTGGCTCCAGAAAGTCCTGTAAATCTCTAGAGTTCATCAGGGAAATCCCAAGGCCAGAGGTCACTAGCACTTCTGCCCTTACTCTCCTTCCTAGGTACATGCAAAAACAGCCTGCAGCCAGCAGGAGGGGGCACAATTTTACTGCATTTCCTGACTTTTCAGTAGAAGCCAAAGCTGCTGTGATGGTGTATTCCTGTTATCCCAGCACGTGGGAGCCTGAGGCAAAAGATTTGCTTGAAAGTGAGGCCAGCGAGCAACATGGGAAGATCCTGTCTCAAAAGAAAAAACAAAAAGCCAGGAACCCGGATGTATCTTCAAAATCCTCTGGACTGCACACCTACAGTGTGCTTCTTTCTCATCACACCCTGCCCCCTTGAAGTCAGGTACTGTTTACACTCATCTTACAGAAAGTAGTTCAGAGGTGGGAAGTCACTGTTCTCACCACAGAACCCAGAAAGTGGCCCAGTGTGCTCAGGAAACCACAGGTGGGGGTGGCATGCCTCTGCCTTGCACCTGCTATAGGTTCTGTGCAGACATACAGGTCCTACCTAGGGTATCCTGCGTGGTCTGCTGAGTCCCATCCTCATCATCCTCTCACAATGGCCAGACACCAGTGTCTGCCCTGTTCTCCAGATGAGGAAACTGAGGTGAGAGGTGGTATGAATGATGAAGTGTCACAGGAGGCCCACAGAGTCAGGGTCGCTCCATATCACACCAAGGAAACAAAAGCCAGAGAGACTCAAATCCTGTTCCTTCCCAGCACAAAGCACTGGATGCTACATTCCAGCTTCCCCCTCCAGGCCTCTGCAGATGGGACAGGCTTAGGCAGGCTAAGACAGGAAGAGGAGGGTGTGGTCACCATTTCCTGCTGGGGCCCTGCTGTGTCAGAGTTCCCACCTACCTAAAGACCAGGACCAGGCTGCTTCCCTCTAGGCCAGAAAGTACTCCCCTCTTTTCTTCCAGGGCCTCTTAAGCCCTCCTCTATAAAGGCAGGGCACAGTAACCTTCCTAGGATGGAGCAGTAGGAAATAACAGTTTGGGACACACTTCTCAGCTGGCAGTGTCAGTCAGCTCAACACTCCAACTTCCCAGATACCAGAGCATCATACTGGAGGAGCCCAGAGCCTCACACACCTGGGAGGGGTTCACAAACCCCTGGCCTAGTTATCAACGTTTAGTCCAAATGCAGGACTGAATGCATTTGAACCCCAGCTTTGGAACTCATAAGACTTGACTATGCAGATGGGCCAGAGATGCTAGGATACTGCAGAGGTGTTGAGATCTGGGGCTCACATGGCCACACCCTGGCTCGGCTTTGAGACCCTAAGTAATTTATTTGGCTTCTCTTCACTCTGTCGCTTGTCTGCAAAACTGGTACAGTAACAGCACTAATGACAGATGATTTACTAAACCCCTAAGATACACCCAACACAGTGGCTCATCGCCCGTGTTACCAACGGAATATGACTACACTAATGGCTACATGTAGAGCCTGTTCTGCCCCTCAGGAGCTGTGTGACCTTGACATATCACAGATCTCTGTGAAGCTGTTTGTCCAGGTGTAAAGTGGAGATGAGAGTACACACTTCAGTGGCACAACAGTGGCTGTCAAGTGTGAGCATCTCGGGAGTTGGCGGGTCAGCTTTCCGGGTCCGGATTCCCTTTTGGCTGTGAGCTTTGTATGATGGGGGGGGGGCTCCCCTGACTCCACTCCCACTCCTGAAATCTGCACCACCAGAGCCTTCAGGGTCTGCAAAGGGACCAGGAACCATTATCCCATCTTCCAGACATAAAAATTAGGGACTGCTGGGGTGCAGTACCGGGCAACCCTGGGGAAAAAGACTTCACTTTCATTCTCCATTTTCCCTCCCTCTCATCTCTCCTCCCTGGCCCCCGGCAACATCTCGACTCGTTTAGTGGCCCTAAAACAGCAGAAGTTGTGTGACCCTGGGAAAGACTTAGCCCCTCCCAGGACCCTTCGGCGTTCGAGCTTCTTGAATGCAGAAAGGACAGCGCCGGAGCGCAGTGCCCTATTACTCGGACCTCCACCGCCCCGGGGCAGAGCCCCGGCCATCCTGGCTCCTTCGTAGTCGGCACAGGGGGCGTCGGTAAAATGTGTGATAACAACTTAACGAGTCCAAAGGACTGCATCGCCTCTGCGGCTCTCGGTCCGGGGCTTCCGGGTCCCAACTGAAGCCGGTCCCGGGCTCTGAGACCCGGGCATGCGCGGGCGCAGGGCAGGCTGGGACACGTAGTTCCCCGGGCATCGCCGAACTGGGGCCTTTGGACCTAGCGGGCAGGCGGGAGAGCGCCGCGGCCCGGGCTCCCGAGGCCGGACTGCGAGCTGGGACCGAACGGGCGCACGCAGAAGGCCTCACTGAAAGCCCGTGCGGTACTCTGCAGGCCCACAGCCATCTCCTACCGCCGCGTCCCGCCTGGCGCGCGCCTGGGGCGCTCGGCGCAAGGTTGTGGCCGGCGTTACCTGGGGCCGCGGCGGGGCTCCACCCCCACCCGGCGGCCGCGGCGTGTCGCTCCCGCTGCAGCCGGGTGTCCTGGTCGGGCTGCGGCCCGGACGCCGCTAGCGGCGGGTCCCCCCTCCGGGCCCGCGCAGTGGAACCGTCCGCGGACCTCTCCACCCAGGCGCGCGCTCGCGCGCGGGGGTGGCCCAAACCGGCCTTGCAGCTTCTACCCTCCTACCCAGGCTCCAGCGCGAATGGAACTGCCTGGACTGCCCCATGCGCACGGATTCAGGGGGTGGCAGGTGGGTAAGGGTGGGCGTCACCCGGCCACGCCCACTCGTCGTTAGACCTGGAAGGGCGCGCAAAAGCTAGGCGCCCGGGAACTAGCATGACAGCCACCCATCTACTTCGTCGCTGGCCAGTGACCTTGGATAAGGACTAATTGTTTCCTTGCTGTACCGGAGAAACGGTACAATGTGCTAGCCATTCACCGAATCTTCGCTTCTGAAGAGTTTGTGCCCTTTCTCCAGTCTCGGAAAGAGAAAAGATGTACAAAGAATAAGCTCTGCAGATCTGCATTTCCCCAGTCTCCACTGGGAGACTCCAGTGATAATAGGAAGAGACATCCGGAGAGATAGCTCTTCCCTGCTTATATGCCCCCTAGACCCATCGTCAGAGCCAGCCTAGACCAGAGCTTGGTGGGCACCTGCGCCAGCCAAGCAATACCAGCCCCGGAGGGGATCGGGCCAGTGAGCGCTACAGCTCCCAGTGTGCTGTGCTTTGGTGGTGTCTGGTGTGCCTGTTGGTAGTTTTAGTCCCTGTAGACTGCTTCCCAGGGGCTGACTCAGGAGCCTCCCTTTCTTATTCCAACACTTGGTTCCTCTTCAGAGGGCTAATTAGATAGCGGTGACTTAGTTGTTAAAGTTGCCAGTTGTTGATAGAACGCTTTAAAGGGAATGTGTACCCTGGATGGGGGCTTGTGGGTTAGCTCAGTTGTTTAAAGCACCAGCTTGTGCAAACTTAGGTGCAGGGGACCGCGGTTCGATCCCCACCTCCACAAGCTGCACCAGACCCTCCCGTAAGGCACCCTGAGCTAGCCAATAAGTGGAATATGTACCCTGGAAAGGGGCTCAAAAAGCCCCTTCTAGACCCTTCACTGTGTATCTGACACCAGTGATGTCTGTTCCTGGCTCTCTAGATACTTTGTACCCTCCAAGCTTGCAGCCCCTGGGAAACGATTGAATTCATTCACACCAGAGATTACCCTCAGCCCAGGCATTTGAGGTTGCACTGAAAGGGAGGCCCTGAGGTATTTCCCTGTTGTGGAAGAGGAGAGAGACCCAGCTCCACATCTCCAGCCCCACGAGGGGAAGCTAGTACTTGATTTCAACTTGATCAATTTCTGAGCTCATAGTGGGTGCATGTAGCAAAGACAGGAAATAAGTTTTCTGTTAAATTTTTTTTTTAAAAAATACATGGCTATGAGGGCTGGCCAAATAGCTCAGCGGATTAAAGTGCCTGCAAGTAGGTGCAGGGGCCTGCTGTGCAGGTCCTACCCCTAGGGCACACTGTGACCCTGATTGAGACTGGGTGTGCCAGCCTGTGCCTGTAGTCCCAGCACCTGGGAGGCTGTAAACAGGAGAATCACAACCGAATCCAATCTAGTGAGACCCTGAACACCCTGTAAACCCTTCCCTAAAATACAGGAAAATAAAAAAATAAATACATGGCTGTGAATGAATCATGAAGTGTATCTAAATTGTTCTCATGTGCACATAGCTGTTGTTTGTCTTGCACTAGGTGTTTTCATGCATGACCTTGATCAGTCCTCATAACAAATCTGAGTTGGGGCCGATGTTGTACCATGCTGTAGATGAGGATATCAAGGCTCAGCAAGATGAAATTCCCTGCCCCAGGCCCCTAGCTAGTAAGTTGTGTGTTGGGCATTAGGACTCATCCTGGGCTCTTAGCCCTGCCTTCTGCCTATTGCTCCCCGAAACTGACCCTGGACCTGGACTTGTTACTCAGACCTGGGTCATCACAGAGCAAAGCCCAATCAGCTTCCTAAGCAGCCCTTTGACAGATAGACAGGTGCCCCTTGAGATGGGTAGGGCACAATCTGGCCACATGTGGCTCACTCAGAGGCTGTCCAAAGGTCTAGGAAGGCCAGGACACACCTTGTGACAGCCATGGCATCGTCTCAGAGCTGTGACCTCAGCTGCAAGAGTGAGGAAGGAGGGTAGTAGATTGGGTCCTGGTCTGCTGGGGCTGGGGCTGGGCAGACAGAACAGGCTACCTCACTTGGTTAAGGTAGCGATGGAGCCTTAAGTGGTGTGCCTGCCTCTCCTCCCAGTCAAATGACCAGCCATAATCAGTACCTATTTCTTTCCAAAAGGAATTTGATAGCTGTGGCAGGACAGTCAGGAGCAAGAATGGTTGCACAGAGCTGAGGAGATAGTTCAGCGACATAAGCACCTGTCTGGCAAGCATAAGATCTTGAGTTCGATCCCTAGTACCAAAAAAAAAAAAAGTAAAAGAATGGTTGCACACCTGTGTGTTACCATCTGATTCTGCCACCTACTCATGATATAGGGGGAAAATGCAACTCCCAACCTGATAGGTATGTGTTTTGAGTTTGTGTTCTCTAAAAGTGAAGAATGAATTTTAGGAATGGAGGTTAAGAGTAGAAAATATTTATTGGGGGAAAGAAAGCTCCTGTCCAAGAGAGGGACAGAAGAGGGGGGGGCCCAAGGGGCTGGTGAGATGGCTCAGTGGTCTAAAGCACCTACTTAGAACAAGCTTAGCAAAGCACAGGGACCGCGGTTCAATCCCCCGGCACCACATGCCAGCCAGCCCCGCCCCCTGGTGGGCTGAGCTGGCCACACACACACACACACACACACACACACACACACACACAAATAAATAAATAAAAAGAAGAGGGGGGTCCAAGCAAGTGGTCCCTGGGAAGCTGTCTCTTCCAGGGACTTTTATAGAGTAAAAACATGTGGTGAGGCAGGCCTGAGGTGGTGGAGAACATGGGAACTCCCTTAGGTGGGCAAGAGGTGGGACAAAACTATGGTCAACCAATGAGATTACAAGCACCATTGCTCAGGTAAAATTGATTAAATACAGTACCAAATGAGAAAGCAAGTCATGTAGCAAGTGAGCATGAATACAGGACAGGGTCTCTTCCTGTTGGGTGTCGGGCTAGTGACTCATTTGGGCTCTTTCAAGGTGATTGATACCTATTTAGAATATCGATCCTTGATACCCATCCCTAGGGAAGTATGTAGCTGTATTGGTTTCCTCTTTTGTCTTGAGATCTGACCCACAGGGAGTGTCTGTCTCTTCCAAGTTGCAGTCACCTTGTCTTACATATTGTCTCCTTAAGGGCCTGGTCCTCTCTGTCTGCCTATAATATTTCTATCTAATTCAGCTACCTACCACATTCACAGTCTGGCTTTGGGTAACAACCTTATGTGTCAGGCCTCTATTTTCTCATCTATAGTCATGCATTAGAGCATCCCTGGAACTGGAGGAAGAATTAAATACTATTTATATAATAATAACAAATTTTTGTTTTCTGTTGTGTTTGTTTTAAGACAGGTTCTCACTGTATAGCCTAGGCTGGTTTCAAACTCAGGGTGGTTCTGCCTCAGCTAGTCTGACAGGCCTACACTACCATGCCCTGCTACAGATATCCTAATAACCACATGATAGCCATACACTGCAACAAAAAGTAACATCTAATGAGACACTAACTCTTGGTGGGAGGGGACCTATCTGGCACTTTAGATACCCGACTCAATTTCATCCCACGGCAGCCTTCTGAGGCAGGTGGCATACACTGCCTCAATTTACAGGTGAGGAAATGGGCTTGTAATTTGGTTATATAATTTGCCCTGCCACCCCTGAACCCAGCAGTCTAACTCTGAACTGGGCTCTTACTGTGCTTTAACTGTTGCATCAAGTACTGGGTAGTTTTTTAGCACCCTGTCTTTGGAAGAGTCTCTTAGGGAACACATCTTGGGAACAAAAACTCAATATTGCTTCGAAGCTCCCAGAGATTGCCTGTAGTCATGTTTTTGATTTTGGTTTTTTTTTTTTTTTTCTGTCTTGGTATATAGTCCAGACTGTCCTTGAACTCATGGCAGTCCTCTCCCTGAGCCTCTGGAGAGCTGGGATTACAGGCATACACCACCCAGGCATACACCAGCAATAGGGTCCATTTCTTTTACCCAGAACTTCAAATATTTTGTGGACTTGACTCAAGCTCATATTATTTTCTTTTTCTCATGTTTGCCCCTTCTCCAGATGTCTTTGCCCTGTAAAGTTTGTAATCACATGCAAGTCTTTTTTTTTTTTTTCAGCCTGAGCTGGGGTGGCATGACGTGGTACCAGGGATGGAACCATGGTCCCCGCGGTTGCGTAAGCCTGCCTAAACAGGCACTTTAGACCGCTGAGCTATCTTGCTGGCTCCAAATGCAAATCTTGATAATGTGTTAAACTGAGGTGGAAAGGAACTACCCTTTTTTTTTTTCTCTCTCTTTTTGTACCGGGAATGGAACTTGCATTTGTCAGGCTGTGCCACTGAGCTATGTCCTCAGCCCCATACCCTGCTAAAAGTTCTGACTACTGTAACTGCTGTAGGCAGCTAAATTAGATAGAAATATTATAGGCAGTCAGACAGGGCCAGGCCCTCAAGGAGACAATGTGGAAGACAGGATAACCTTGCAACTATAGAAGAGACACCCCTGCTGTGGGCCAGACCTCAAGACAAAAAGAGTAAACAAATGCAGCCGCATACCTCCTTAGGGATGAGCATCAGGGATTGATATTCTAAATAGGTATCAACCACCTTGAAAGAGCCAGCAAGAGTCACTGAGCCAATCCCAACAGGAAGAGTCCCTGTTCTGTACTGAGGTCCACTTGTGCTTGCTACATGTGACTCGCTTTCCCATTTGATCCCAATTTAATCGATTTGACGTGAGCGACTGTACTTGTAGTCTTATTGATGGACTGTAGTTTTGTCCCAGCTCATGTGCAAATTCCCATGTTTTCCACCTCAGACTTGCCTGACCACCAGGTTTTGCTCTATAAAAATCCCTAGAAACAGCAGATTCCTAGGCAACCCACTCAGATTCCCTTCTTTCCTTTTAGACAGGAGATTTCTTTCCCCCAATAAATATATTCTGCTCTTAACCACCATTATTCCTAAAATTCATTCTTTGGTTTTAGAGAACTCAAACCCAGCCAGGTATCTTTCAGGTTGGGGGTTTCATTCCCCTTTATCATAACTACTTCACACATACTAAGTGAGGATGAGAGGTGTCACCTGCTCAGGAGGCGTAGGCTTCCTCATTTGAGCTGAGAGAGGGCATATTCCTGAGGAAAGTGGACTGCGCGCTTCGGAACCCAGGTAAGTGTGTGGGTGAGTTCCTGCTGCACCCGAATCCCCTGCCAGGAATGGTGTCTTGAAGATATGATTTTACCTTCACAAGAATGTCAGATAGGGGGCCTGGCCCTAGCTCAGTCCTTTAAGTGGCTGCTTCCACAAAGCTGTCAGCCTCAGGTTGCTGTAGTTCGATCCTCACAACACCCCAGCAGGCCAAAAGTGCCCTGAAGGCATTCGAGGAGAAAAAAAAAAATCCTTATTCCATGTTAGGGCCGGGGAGATGGCTCAGTGGAATAAGTGCTTCCCTGGCAAGCTCAAGGGCCTGAGTTCAATCCCCAGTTCCGTAAAAAAAAAAAAAAAAAAATTCCTTCAAGTTACAAATGGAGACATCTGATGTCAAGCTACAGGGAGGAGCAGAGACTGCATAACAATGGAGAGAGGACAAAATTCATTCTAACTCTGGCCTCTCATCTCAACTCTGACTCTTCCCTTCCTTTTCAGGGGCGGGGAGGGGGGGGCCTTCCTGCCTTGAGGTAATCTGAGTAGAATCCAGTTTTAAAAAGGTGTAGCAGAAGAGGCAGTGTATTGGTTCAGTAACTGAAGAAGCTAGAGCTAGGGAAAGGGATGCATACCTGTAATCCCAGCACTCTGGAAGACCGAGGCAGGGAGATTGCAACTCTGAGCCCAGCCTGGACAATTTAGCAGTTTAGTGAGACCCTATTTCAGAAAATGAAAAAAAAAAAAAGTAGTGGATGGCATCAGGCATGTCTCACCGTAGGGGCTCATGCAAAGCCCCAAGAAATCCATGTGTCCATTTCTTTCTTTTTTTTTTTTTCTTTTGGCTGGCTCACGATGCCTTAAAGCAGGTCTGGTAAGGCATGAGGATCTGAGGATAGAACCACAGCATCCCGAACCTGACTGCTTTGTTTAAGCAGGCACTTAAACAACTGAGCTAATGGGCAGGCCCCCCATGTGTCCATTTCTTAGCTCTGCTTTACTCAATCTTAGAAGATCCCTCAGCCAGCCATTGGAAGCCCAGGGTCCCTTTCTTAGATCTACCACCAGCCAGGAAGTTCCTGCTCTCAATCCTTCCAACTAAAGGCCTCTGACACCCATTGGGTCTTATTGGAGCAGCTGTGTCCATGCTGGCCAGCAAGAAAGTGTGATCTGATTGGTGAGGCTTCCTCAACATCCCTGCCTAGAGTGGGGAGAAGGATGCGAAGAGGCTCCCAAAGGAGAGCTGGGGGTCGGCACCTGGGAAGGGCTGCTGGCATCTGCAACATCTTTGCTTCTCTGCTGGGAGACAGAGAAGCCCTTCACGGTAGAGTGTGGAGGAAGATTCCCCCCTATAGCCATGGTGAGGGCGCAGGAGAAAGGATGGGGGGAAGAAGGGTGGGGTGGCCGTTCCTCCATCCTTCCCAAGTGACAGAGTTCCAGCTCTGTGTCAGAATGACCCTTGCTCTTTGTTCTCTGGGGGATGTGGGTATGGTCACTTCCCTCTCAGAGTCTCAGCTTCCTCCTCTTTGGTGTAAGGAACACGCTGATAACCCTCTCCTGGTGATCTCAGCCATCAGAGTGCCAGTGTACGGGCATGGTAGGTGCCAACTGTAACACTGTGTGGGAGGCCTGGGACAGCCCTCACCAGGACTTACCCATGTCATGAAATGAAAGTTGTCAGGGGCCGGGAAGATGGCTCAGTAGAATAAGCGCTTCCCTGGCAAGCTCAAGGGCCTGAGTTCAATCCCCAGTTCCCACTGAAAAAAAAAAAAGAAAAGAAAGAAAGTTCTCAGGATCTGCCTCTTGTGATCTCTGTGGGAAGGTCTGGAGCTCACTGAGCTTGCTGGCCCACAATGCAGGCTGCACGCAGGGGCAGGAGGCTACAATATCTCATAGTGCAGCTAGAGGAAGCAGGCCTTGAGGCTGGTGATCTTGTGCTTGGACCCCCTTTTGCCTGCAGGGCATGAGGATGGAGTTGGGGACTTGGTCCCTGCTGGGAGGCCACTAGCATGGGGACAATGTTTGTTGTGGCTTGGGGTTTTTGCAAAGGGAATGGTACAATATAGGACACATTTTATAAGATAATTTTTATAATGATTCACCCAAAGAATCACATACAAAGAGTGCAGAAAATTGTCCATATACTAAAAACCAAAAACCCAGCTGAGGGCCTGGATCCTAATATCCTTCATGAATCCAGCTGAAACAATTAGCCCATAACAATGCCTCCCACTAGTCTAACTGGAGGCCTAGAGCCCGCAACACTGTTTCATGCAGGCCCATTTCATGGATCTGCACTGAGAAGGCCCAAAGGTCAGGGGTAGACGCTGGAAAAGCTATGCCAGCCTATGAAGGATCTGTGTCAGCAAGCAGAGTGATCTGAATTAGAGCTAGGAAGCAGGGTTCAAGGTAAGCACCAGGGCCCCCCCCCAAGTACAACAGCCATCCATCTTCAGCAACAGTGAGGTCCTGAGCTCCTCCAGCGATGAGGAAAGCTGAAATCCCATCAGGAAAGCCAACATGACAAGCTTTTCCAGGAGACTGAGTTGTGCACCATCTTCCCCTCTGGAGCCAGGAAGTGATGCTCAAGATGAGGACCAGAGTTCCCCGAAAGTGAACCACAGCCATTCTCAGTGACAATGAGGTCCCAAGCTCTTCCTCCAATGAGAACAGCCAAGGTCACCAGGAAAGCCAGCATGATGCGGTCCTCCAGTATAATAGCCCAAGAGAGCCAGCAGCTCCCAGCAGCTTCTCCAAACAACTTCCCTAACAGCCTCTCTCCTCCTCCTCCAGTTCTGCCTCTTATGCTGCTGGCAGCAATTTTCAGGTAGGCCTCCCATACCCAGCACCAAGCTAATTCAGTTCAGCTGGGTGTGACAAGTTGACCACCGTTTGGCAATCCACTGCAATGATGAAGCAGATGAAGCCCTGGAGAGGTGGCTGCCCTTTGAGGGCCTCCATAGAGGGGACAAATACCAGCAAGTGAGGGAGAGCTTTGTTCAAGCCAGGGCACTCTCAGTTCTCTGCCTGAACCTCTTGGGCCATTGAAGACTCCATGTTTGGTTGTCACATCCTTTCAGTGGTTCCTTCCCTGACCTATCCCCAGTCATCTGCACAGGTGTCCTGCCACTGATGATGCTTGCAGCAGGGAGGGGACAGAGGCTTGAGATAAACACACACACACACACACACACACACACACACACCCCACTTTTCCCATCTCTGGCCTGACATAGGGCTGGGTTTTATTCCCAGGAAGCCCTGTGGGTCCCTTCTCCTTTGGCCCAACCGCTAGTCCCAGGAGTGCTCTGAGACTTGTCCCTTGGTCTCCCCCGCCCTCAGCCTTGGCTCCTCCTGAGGATTCAGCCCTTTGGTGGGAGGTGTGGTTCTGGCAGGGTTAATGATTGTTCAGGGGAGGTGGAGATGGTGCCAAAGTCTGCCTTGGGCACACTGCTGCTGGCCTCAGACACTTCCCACCTCTGCCTGCCAGTGTCAGTCAGCATCAAAGCCCCTCTGGGGCACACAGGTAGGGACAACCTTGCTCAGCTGGAGCTCTTGGCCAGGGGTAAGTTGGGGTCCTTGTGGCCATTGTAAGCTTCAGGGGTCTGTAAAGTTCCCCCTGACTGGGGGAAATGTCTGGCACGGAGAGCCAGCTGTAGTTCTGGGCTGGATGAATTTGGGGTTCAGTCCCATCCAGCTGTGAGACCTTGGTTTCTCCTGGAAAGTGGATAATATCCCTACTTCCTGGGATTCTGCTGGTCTTGTCCCCTCCCTTCCCAGTCCTTGGGTAATTTGGATGGCTATGGAGTCATGACAGGACAGAGGATTTGCCCGGTACCCTGGGAAATGAATTACCCTGTCTGGGCCCCTCGCCCTGGAGTGTGAGGCTGGTGGCTGACCCAGGGGGGCTTCACAGCTTGAGGAGAAAGGCCCGGCTTTTCCGACTTCTGGGCTCAGGTCAGAGCTTCACCTTAACTGCTTAGGCTGCTTCTCGTGGTCCTCGTTTCTTTTTTTTTTTTTTGGCAGGACTGGGGGTTGAACTCAGACCCTTGGGCCTGTCAGGGAAGCACTTATTCTACTGAGCCATCTCCCCAGACCCCAAGGTCCTCGTTTCTTTAACGTGTGGCAAGAAGCCGAAAAGCCTGGGGCAGGCTGAGCTGGGTACTGTATTCAGTGACGTATTCCAGTGCCACCTCAGCCAGGACAAGGAAGTGTCAAGCAAGGATGACTTCTGACGGGGCTGTGTCCATCCCCTGCCCTACCCACTTGGTGCAGGGAGACTCTGCTGAGAGCTTTGTCCCTAAGGCAGGGCCATTCTTGCTCGGCTGCTCCCAGGCACCAGGCTCAGCAAGCACTGAGATTCTACTGATCAAAAGAATGGCTTTTCCTTTACTTTATTTTCTCAGCAGGGAAACCTGGGGCCTAGAACTGGGATGGGCTTGCCTGGGGGTGCACAAGGAGTGGGTGAAAGGCTGGAAACCAAGGGAGCACCTCTTTCCGTACTTGACCCAGGATACAGCAGCCTCAGAGGGGGCACTGTCAGCAGCCATAGCACGGAACCTGGAGTCCTCTGGCCCCTATCTTCACTCAGGACCACCCTGGCTGGGCTGGTCTCTGTCTGTGGGTACAAAAGCAGCCCCATGGACCCAGCAGAATGGAGCACAGACTGAATCTTCCCCAGGGACCCCAGGATCTGTAGCCAGTTTGCATCTGATCTTCTGCCCCTTGCCCTTGGGCATCTCTCTCTGAGCATCTCTGAACCTTGTGTTCTCAGAACATTTTCTAAATGTCATTCCTATCTGGGGACAGCACAAAGAAACAAGAGAAAGCACAAGTGCATGGTGACCTGCAGGTGGCAGGCCTGTGGTGGACGAGGAGAGCATGCTTCCCTCTGGTGTCCTGGAGTCCTGGGGTCCTCACTTGCAGTTGTTCCACATTCTGGGAAGTCTCACAGCCCTGTTCAGAGGAGTGGCCAAAATCTCCCCGCTGAGTTCCTGGGGCCAGCATTCTTGGGCCAAGTAGGACATCTTGGACTTACTATGTAGCCCAGGGTGAGCTCAAACTCCTAATGAGCTGCCTGTGTAAACCTCCTGACTGCTGGGATTACAGGAGTTTAACACCACACCCAGCTTGAACATAGGGTCATTTTACTGAGCTATATTACTGGCCCTTTTAATTATTTTTGGGTACTAGGAAACAAACTCAAGATAATAATAATAATAATTATTTATTACTCAAAATAATTTTTGAGTCAGTGTTTCACTGAGTGACTAAATTGTTCAGGCGAGGCTCAAACTTGTGATTCTTCTGCCTCAGTTTCCCAGAATGCTAGGACTACAGTGTGGCACCACTCCCAGCTCCTTCCTCAAATATTTTTAAATGTTTTTGTGAGATAGGGTCTTGCTTTGTAGTTCAGGCTGGCCTTAAACTCAGGGATCTTTCTGAGCCTCTAT